ATGGCTTATCAATGAAATATCAGCAATGTGACGATTTTATAATTAATAATTGCCTTTGGTCTTTCATTTTTAATGCCTTGCCTTTCACTCGGCCAAAATAGATCCTTTAACAGATTCACAAATTCAAGCACACATATATTATGAAAATTGTAAAAGCTCGCTAAACGAAAGTAAATTGTAAATGCGTAATTGTAAATGCAATTAAAATCTTGGTATGATTACAAAAATTTGTTTAATTTAAGTATAAAACGTACCAAGTACTTAATTTCTGACGGAAGCTTACAAGCTATTTATTTACAAAATTAAAATATATCTATTTTACCTCTTTCTCTCGACGTGCCTTCGAATCAATTAATTTTATATAAATACAAATAAATACAAATTGTGCTATTGAAAGCACTCTCGGTTCGTACCCACTTCGAAAAGAAAATGTAGTTTTAAAATGACTGCCATTTTAAATTACGCGCAAATTGTTTTTTTTTTATCTTAATTAGTGGAAAATGTATTTGCCACGTTTGCTAGCGACTTACATTAATCGAAAAGAAACAACTCGACTGCAGTGTCGTTTGAGCTCCCGACGAGCATCGTCACTGGAAGTCATTGGAACGAGCGGACGTAAAGCAAACGTAAATCGCACAAATAAAATCCAAAAAACCATATCTCAAAATACACTTAATGATAATAAAAGTATTGGGCGCATCGGAAGTCGCAAGGCGATAAATAGAGTCGATAAATAATGTCGAAATAAGAAAAATTCTCGGCACATACGAATGGTCGTAAGAAAAAAAGGCGAATTTCCTCGTTCGCACGTTTTGCATACAAGAGACTTAAAGGAATTCGTCATAGCTGTCTCAATAAATTAGTATAAGCATACTTGAAAATTTGGTGTACGTGGCTTGACCTCGTCCGTAATAATAAAAGCTCATGCGTGATAAATCTCCGATTTGAAGAACGGTACGTAGGAAAGGAGGGTGCATAATGACCGTGCGGTGGACGATTGGGGGGGGGGAGACAGCT